TCTCAATACTTGAGGTACATCAGTCACCAAAATAGATGGAACTCTCTGTCTTTTGGAGCTGATATTTAGTGATGAGGGATGTTCTTGAGGCCAGAGTTCCCTTCCAGAAAATAACCACCACCACCACCCATTCTCCATCAGGTAGGGGGAAGAGCGGTTTCTTGAGCCGCTGGGGAGAGACTCTGGGGCTATAGCTGCTCTGTTACTGCACTTTCAGTATGGCTGCTAAACTGGCAGCACTAACTTTCAGCCAGTTGTGTCCCCAGTTCTCCTCCTTCTGTTCCCCACTTCACTCCCCTTGCTTTGTCCTCCAGAGGTGCTGGTATTGGTGCCTTCAATTTTACAACTTTTCTGGGTGCAGTAACTTCAGTTAAGCTTCCTGCATCCCCATTCAGCTCCCTGGAGGTGACTATTCTTCTATTTTATAAGAAGAATTTCTTCTATAAGGCACATATAAAAGCCTACATTTAATCTGCATGTTCAATAGACCAACCTGACTGCCATCACCAGCCTAATCTTCCTTGAATACCACGCTGAATTTGAAGAACATACCCATTGGGCATCTATTCCATGCAGGACATGTCCCAAGTGAGATTAGATAGTGTTTGTTGTTTCCATACATGGGATGTCTGGGAAAAATTCAGCCACCTGGAAAAGGTTTTCCCAACACCCCCAGTATTCAGTCAGCACTGGATATAGTCTTCCTACCTGAGCTATTGTGTAGCCAGGGAAGCAGGGGAAGCCCAGACCCCTGGTTCTCCTGTTTCACTGCAGTCAGGCAGCTGGGAGAAGAGGGAGCTCACTTGTTCTGTTTTTTTAACCTGGCCTGATCATTGGGTCTGAACTAAACCTCCAGGGCTCAGTGCGTTCAGTTTGATCACACCTTCCTGAAACAAATGTGACTTTTCCGACCTTGAGAATGCCATTGTCTGGAGTTACTGCTAGCTGGGAGAAACTGAGGAGAACAAATTAAATATGAAGAATTAAGATTTAATTAAGATTACATTAAATGTGGATATAATCTTTAATTAGATATTTCATTAGGTTAAATTTATTAAGTCAAATCTAATATTTCATTAGAATTAGGAATTTAAGAATTAGAGCTGGGACTGTAGCTCAATGCTAGAGCATTTGCTAGGCATGCACAGATGCAAGGACCTGAGTTCTATCCCCAGTACAGAAAAGAAAACTAAGAATAAGATAAAAATTAAGATTAAAATGCAGCCTTTAGAGATTTGTGTTTAAATTTTTCTCTGAAACACTATTTATTTATTAATAAATGCTTGGTAATAAATCATTTGATCTTCTTCATTGAGTTGCCATGATAATTAAATAAGATTATATATGGAAAGGTTAGTCTAAAGTCTGGAAACAGCTATGTATGTAATCTAAAGGGAAGTTCAGATTCCCAAACTTGGTGATTATCTGAAGTTTGAACCAAACCAAAATCTGTTATGTTCTAATTAATTAATATCTTTGTGGCCTCTGGTCTCTCCTGGAGGGGGATCAGTGTTCCTTCCCATACGAAGATTTACTCCCTACAACCTAGTTCAGGCCTCCAGAAAGCCACATAGCAGGGTCACAACACACCTCCCCTGTGCCCCAGGTGCTAGGAACTGAGCCCAGGGCCTTGCACATGCTAGGCAAGCAGTCTACTGCTGAGCTATGTCCTTAGTCCTGGGACATTTTTGACACTTGGAGTTAGGTGATTATTTCATCATGCTGTGAGAATTTCTAAGTCCCTGAATCAAGGCTGAAGGTGGGTGTAATTAGTGCTAAATTGATAATCTACATATTCCTCTTTATCCTCTAGCCACCCTTGGAGTTAGATTGGGGTTATGTGTCTAGTGCAGGCCTTTGTCTGGAACCAAAAATTATGGTATCATTTCAGAGAAAAGCACTGAAGACCCAGAGTGCCTTCTCCTTTTACCTTCACGGTGAGGCCAGTCGTCATGTTACAAATAGAGAGCTACAAAATGGTAAGTGGGGAAAAATATATCCTCTATACATAAGTGACCATCTAGAACAAGCCTCCACTCCACCCCAACCCAACTTACCTCAATTTGGAATACAAGAGAGAACTAAATATCTGCTGTATTAAATCACTGAGATTTGGGGTTTAATTTATTGCTATATTATCCCCAGGAAAATACAGTTGTTTAAAATAACTTGTGAAGACAAAATAAAAGAGATTTCAATGTCCACTGATGACATACCAGGTAATTCAGACAACCTTCCCACTAGGAAAGTTGAACAAAACATTTTAACAATCTGCTTGAAAGCATTGGAAAAACAACATGGTAGTGAAAAATTATCAGCTTGCCATCTGACCAACCAAGAAAAGATGAAAATCCAGAGAAGTGAGCTTGACATTTGAGGATACTTTTCTCCTAGGAGCATTTGTTAATTCCAGCAAAGTCAGTGTTTGATAGCTGAGCAGTATGTTTGATGGCCTGGTATGGAAGGGAACACAGTTGGACACTGGTAAGAACACAATAGTGTGAATTGGAACCCTGAAGTGCTGTCCTGTAGGAGAGGATGAATTGGAAGTAAAAGAGCCTTCACACAGCTTGCAGCCCAGCTTCTAATCATCAGGTGGCCCAGAATATCTCAGGCCCTGAAACTGGACTAAGGTGATCCCATATAGCTAATGGGCTCAGGCTCCTGGAAGAAACAAACAAAACTTTCCTGGAGGAAAAAGCAGGGGGTATTGTTTTAAGCTAAAAATTATTCTTCAAGCAACTTTCCAAATACAATGTCTAATACAATAAAGAAAACAAGGCATCGGCCCAGATAAGATTATATGAGCAAGAACCAGCAAAATCAACAGAAAATAGGAACAATTACATGGCTTCCACATATTGGCACTGATCTGAATTTAAAACTTTAGCTTACTAAATACAAGGTCGAAATTTTTACAAAAAAAAACTGTAAATATTTATTTATTTATTTATACTGATGATTGAACCCAGAAGTTCTCTAACACTTAGCTACTCCCCTAGCCCTTTCTAGTTTTTATTTTGAGTAACTCAATAAGTTACTCAGGGCCTTGAAAAATTGCTGAGGCTACTCGTGAATTTGCAATCCTCCTGCCTTAGTCTCCCTGGTTGCTGGGATTATGGGTGTACACCACCAGTCCCACCTTGGAAATACTTTTAAGAAGACTCAGCAGAAATAAAAGAAGAAGCAACAAAAATTCTAAAACTGAAAATGCAATAACTGAAATTAAGAAAGCATTGGATGAATTTTTATCAGATTAGAACTTGCTAGTCAACTTACTTTATATACAAACAGAGATTTGAAAAATTGTGGTATATATGTGTAATAAGAATTGTAATGCAAAAAAAAACAACAAAGTACATGTATAAAGACATGAATTGGCATGAACATACTTTATATAAAAAGATATGAAAAATTGTGCTCTATATGTGTAATAAAAAAAGAACTTGCTAAAGAAAGAAAGAACTAAAAAATAAATCAGAATTACATATAAAAAGGCAAGGCTAGAAAATACAGAGGAGATGGTCAGAGACTCCTAGAGAGTATAGAGGGAATGAAGCAAAAGAAGTATCTTAAGAGATAACAGCTCAATAGAGGTAGAGAGGGGGAAAAAGAGACAATACTGAGAATTATCCAAAGCTGGTGTAAGACATGGATCTACAGATTGAAAGTTAGGCAGAGAGGCGCAGTGGTGCACTCCTGTAATCGCAGCCACTAGGGAGGCTGAGGCAGGAGGATCAGAAGTTTAAAGCAGCCTCAGAAATGATGAGGTGCTAAGCAATTCAGTGAGACCCTGTCTCTAAATAAAATACAAAATAGGGCTGGGATATGGTTTAGTGGTTGAATGCCCCTAAATTCAATCCCTGGTGACCACCCCCCCCCAAAAAAAAAAGAAAGTTTTATTATGTGAACTTGGCAGAGAAAAGAAAGGCGGAAACTGTTCTTTTTAAGTCAAAGATAAACTCTGAGAGTTCTGGCTTATATGAAAGGGTGAGATAAAAACAGAGAAGGAAGAATGGGTCTGTTGGGGTTGGAAGGAGGTAGTATGAAGCAGAAATAGCAGACTCCAATTTTTACTTGTTGAATTTAACATACAAGCAAGAATAACACTGGTTCATTATTTCTTGAATAACTATTATTTTTGTCATGATTTTCATGATCATCCAAAACTTTTATTGTTTGGAAAAGTCAATCAAGACTTTCCTATCTCAAGAATTCAACACTCTCAGGTCTTTCCTTCCTGCTAGAATCTATACTCCACCTCCAAGTGTTGCTCTACAAATGGATGTTTGCAGCAAAATGTACAAAGACAAATGTGGTATTTCTACATATGAAACTAACTTCAAATGATGGAATAAACACAATTTTCTATTATAATCTGTAATATTACATCAAAGCTTATCTTAAAGGTTTTTTGTGTGTGGTATATTTAGTTATTTTGTTTTATTAACACAAAAAAAATAATCCACTGGCTACTATAAATTTTTTACTTAAGAAACAGGACAATTTTCACAATAAACTCTGTGTCTGATGAATGAAAGTGACATAGGATGCTTTCTTTATGACTGAAAAATTCCCCAAAAAGGTTAAAAGATGATATCAATAATGTTTGGTATTTAATGAGAACTTTTATATTCTAAAAGGGGCTTACATGGATTAATTCCTTAAAGAGATTTAAAGATATCTTATAAATTATATACCAATGATATAAAGAATATTATTTAATGGAAATTCTGGCAATTCTTTTTTTTTATCCAAGATTATTCTTGTTTTGTTTTGTTTTTGTTAGTTCTAATATTATTCTTTTTATAAAATACATTATAATTCCACAGATACAACTAGGCAACAGAAATATATATGGGAAAAAATACTTTACTACAATATACTACAAGAAAGTCTATCTTTTTTTCGTGATATTAAACTTTTCTTCCAAAAATAATAAAATTTTCAAAATCAATGAACAGGAAAATAATTTTATTTTTAAATAATCTTTTACATGCCACATTACATTTTTAAATATATGTAGAGAGTACCCACGTTATTGCCTGATGCAATCAAAGATGAGTTTTTCAACACAGGTTTAATTGTCTCAGTTTTTTTCATTGTAGTATTTCCCTGTAGAACTACTGCTATATTGTTGTGGCTTCCCTGCATATCATTCCAAAGAAAGTTATTATGAAAAGTTCCACCATAATTTTGTACAATTTAATTAAACTTCTTAATATAATCACAAGCAGGAAAAGGCTAAAGACATATTTTTTAAAACAGAAGATTCTTTCAAGACAATTTTATCTAATAAAATGCACAAACCTACATCTGAAACTATTAAATGTCTTAAAGATTTGTAATTTGAAACATTATTTAACCACATTCTTGATATTACAAAGGGTTAAAATTTAATAGTCAACCCCTTGTTTATTTCTTTTCAGCCATGCTAACTATTGGATTCCTAGAAATTTGGCTCTCTTGCTTAGCTTTTTTTTTTTTTTCCACTTTACTAATTTGAATCTCTCATATAATTTGTGACCCTGAATATTTTAAAAACCTGTGAATTTATAAAATGGTTGGGTTCTTCAATTAATATAGGACCCTAAGTTTCTTAGAGTCCAGACAGTCATTTAATGTTTGAATTCCCTCTGCCACTCCCATCCCCCACACCTACCCCAAAGAGAATTACCCACAAGACATTTCATTCCATTTCTAATTTTCATTACTAATAATGTCTTCCCTATTCTGAGCTGAAATCTTCTTTCGTACAACTGCCACTCATTTTGGGCTTTGCCAATCTCAGCACTAGCCCTGGCCAGATGACCTTGGGCAAGTTAATGTCTTGTTGCTTTAGTTTCCTTAGTTGTAAAACGGAGATAATAAATGTGTGTTATCAATACATGGAGATTAAATAAAAATGTTTATAAAGCACCTGGCACAACAGAGGGCCTCTAAGAATGGTACCCTGAATTAGAAATAAGAAACCCTCCTCTGCATGGCTGCCATCTGAGATGTGGTAGCAACTATCATTTACTCTCCTCTTGATCAAACACCCCCATTTCCTTCCATGTTTCTTTGAACAAAAAGATATTGTCTTCCTTATTCTTCTAGTCATTCCTTTTCACATAAGTTCAGTTCTTTGAGAAAAGGGTCAACTGCCAATCCAAATATATATGTATTAAACTATTTTATCAACTGAGAACAAACTCTATATTCATGTCATTGCAGAATAATATTTTCTTTTTTACATTGCTATTTAATCTTCTTCCTTTCCCCTCCTACCTCAAGTGTCCCCATATGTGGCCCTCTGGCAAGCTGGGCTCTGAGGAAGGCAATAAGTATGGATACTTTATGGTTCTAAGTGAGGAAAAGACAGAAGCACCTCTCAGATATTAGGATATATCTGAGAAGTTTCCCTCTTCGTTCTGGTAGGACGTCAGTTCTCCCTCCTCGAGGGTCATATCTCTCTGTCCTCTGTGTTCCTTCTTCTGGAATTCACAATTTTGAGTGGTGGCGCCATAAGATATCTTCTTTCTGGGACTCACAAAAGTCTCGTGGTTGAGTTCTGTCTCCTCAGCTAATTCATCTTGGTCAATGATTCCACATTTCTCCTCACAGAGAGACTCTGGGTCAGCCCAATCCTGTTTCTCCCCAGAAGCAAAGATGCCATAGAAGATCACACCACTATAGTGCACCAGTGCAGCGATGAGGAACACATTCTGCCATTCCTCCCGGGTCTAAATGGAACAAAATGCAATTAATGTTTTCACCAAAAACAGAGATTTAGCAGTGTGTTCTGAAGGCCTTCACTGAGACAAAACTACCTGCCAAACCCAAGGCAACACTGTGCTTCTTAGGAGGACATGGTCAGACGCTGCATTAAGACTATAATGAGAGTTGGGGTTGTGGCTCAGTGGAGGAGCACTTGCCTAGCATGTGTGAGGCACTGGGTTCAATTCTCAGCACTGCATATATAAATACATAAAATAAAGGTCCATCACAAACTTTAAAAAAAGACTAGAATGAATGTGATTTTGAATTTAAAAAATACATTTTTAAAATAAATGACATGCAAAAATGCATGCTGCACCATTGCATAGCTCTCCTAAACATACAAATGTGCTTTCCTCTGTCATAGTAGACTAAGCCACACTTGCTTTAGGACCCAACGATTTTAAATATCAGAAATCTCTTTCTGGCTTACTGTTGGGTAAACAATATTTGAGCCATTGAAGTGTTCAACCTTTATGATCAGTAGCTTATTTATAATCATATTTTCTACGTAAAAAGTAGTAAATCAAAAAATAGGAACTTGGGTATAGATCAGCAGTAGAGTGCTTGCCTTGCATGCACAAGGCCCTGGATTTCATATCCAGTCCTGCAAAAGTTGGGAAGGATAGTATTTAAAGTAAGCGGAAAATAATAACTTAGATTGATAGGCGTGTTACCGATCTTATCATCTCATGAACAAAAAGGGGAAACATGGGGCTGGGGCAATAGCTCAGCGGTAGAGTGCTTGCCTAGCACATGTGAGGCCCTGGGTTTGATCCTCAGCACCATATACAAATAAATAAATAGAATAAAGGTGTTTAAAAAAATTCCTTCTTTTAAAAAAAAAGGTGGTGGTGGGGGGGGGACATGGATTCTCTGGCTATCTCCAAATTCCATCTTCCTTTTTTGTCAACAAGCAAGGAAAGTTACCTCACACTTTCTTCTCAAAGAAGACGGAAGAATATCTGAAGTCATATTTGTAATAAGCAATTTGACTAAGAAAATAGGCCAAAACCCCATAGCAGTAAATAATTCCTGATTATAAAAAGTGGATCCTGAAATTTTTTTCCCGATAGAGATACAGAAATCAAGTGGCCTGTGGTTGAACTCTGGATGGGTTGCAGGATCTCTCTGTACCTCCCATGCTAGTGTAAATACACAAAGGCTCAATAAAGACTGAGTGCCACACCCTTGAAGGTTCTTAGGAAGGATCATTAATGTCTTGTTTATTTTGCTTCTGAACAAGGAAGTAGAGCAGCACTAATATTCTTATGCTAGAACACACTAGGCAATAGATGGAAATAACCTATAAAGTTTAATCACTTCAAATTATAAAACAATCTTGGTAACTCATTTATCCTGAGTTGATGGCCTCAATTTCTTCTTTGGGTCTCTCAGTGGTCTCTGTGACCTTCATCCCTGTCCCCTACACCTTTATTTCTTAGTTGAGAAAACATGGAACCAAACAACAATCAGTCCTGGTGGCATCAAGTAATGATATAAGAAATAGGAGGAGGAGGAAAGAAGAGGAAGAAGTGGTTCAGCAACTTCATCAAGGTTAAGGACACATGTATTTACATTTACAGGCTCAGGTAGGGCCTTGAGATCTCAAGTTTTGCAGCACTTCTACTGTAACCCATAACCACGAAGGAGACCATTCATTACCTTGTGCTTGGTCATTGCACCAACAATGAGGGGACAGACCATTCCAGAGAGGGTTCCCACTCCATTTGAGATCCCCATGAGAATGCTGGCATAGCGGGGAGCAATGTCGAGGTGGTTGACGTTAAAACCTACAGTGAAGCCAAAAACCTCAAAATCAGAGTCAAGAACGGGATTTCAGATATCCTTTGAGAAACACTTGTTGTGCCCCAATTCTCATCAATCCACTAGATACCCTCTAGTATATGACTAATGGGCCCTCTACCAAGAGGCCTCAGTTTAGCACTGCCAGGCTGTGTCTGCACAAAACAGTTAAACATGCTACTACTAGCAATGTCTGCTTGGGTTCTGGATGGGGAGAATTGCAGCATGTGTGTCCTGTAGATCTGGAACTCCAAAACATAGTGTTTAGGGAATCCTGAAAAGCCAAAGCCTGCACCACATCTTTTCAGAGTAAACAATCAAATTTGTAGAATCCAACCTTACTCTGTAATATGCCCCCTCCTATCCCCAGACTCACTCCTAAAAGGCCCTGTAGGTAAGTCTGCCTTCATGTCCATGCAGCTTACAGGAAAGGCTGGGTTTTGGTTTTTGTTTTTTAAATAATAAACATTTGCATAAACATTAGCAGAGCCCTCTCTAATTGATAAAAACACTTTCACACACCTACTTGATTTGGAGTCTGTGCATTTCGGATTTGAATTTTATTTCCACCTCATAATCAAGTGCATTTTTACCTTAGTTCTCTCATCACTAAAGATGAGGATCCTCATCAGTAAAGTTGGTGGTCTTGTGATTCACCTCCTAAAGATACTGTGGCCTGAGACTCAAGAGAAACGGGTATTTGGGAGCCCTTAGAAAAGAGCTGAGCTATTGTAACCACCATCACCACTGCTGCTTCCACTGTCATTGCTAAGCATTTCCCTGTCTCTGGGGTCTTCTATCAAAAGTGGTGAAAGTGGTAAAATAGGAGGTAAGATAATATGTTGCCAACACCTCACTGTAGAATTCATTTGTCAGGAGAAAAGAATGAGTAGAAGGAAGGGGAAACCAGTGAAGGAAGGAAAGGCAGAGCTATGAACAAGGCTTGAGGCAGTGGAAATCAACTTTGCCAATACAGCCCAAGGGTGCATTTCAGAGTCAGTCAGACGTCAGCTCTGAGGTGCAACCCGAGTCTAAGGATTTAAACTTCCTGAACCTAAGTTTCCTCATCTATAAATTGGGGGTAGTTATTCCCATACATTTTTGAGTCTTAAATTAAATGCATGAACCTTCTATAACTGATAAAACACTTTCTTTTTTTTTTTATTTTGTGGTTCTTTTTCTTTTTTTCTTTTTTTTTGTTTTTTTTAATTTTTTATTGTTGGTTGTTCAAAACATTACAAATTTCTTGATATATCATATTTCACACTTTGATTCAAGTGGGTTATGAACTCCCATTTTTACCCCGTATACAGATTGCAGAATCACATCAGTTACACATCCATTGATTTACATATTGCCATAGTAGTGTCTGTTGTGTTCTGCTGCCTTTCCTATCCTCTACTATCCCCCCTCCCCTCCCCTCCCCTCTTCTCTCTCTACCCCCTCTACTGTCATTCATTTCTCCCCCTTATATTATTTTTCCCTTTCCCCTCACTTCCTCTTGTATGTACTTTTGTATAACCCTGAGGGTCTCCTTCCATTTCCATGCAATTTCCCTTCTCTCTCCCTTTCCCTCCCACCTCTCATCCCTGTTTAATGTTAATCTTCTTCTCATGCTCTTCGTCCCTACTCTGTTCTTAGTTACTCTCCTTATATCAAAGAAGACATTTGGCATTTGTTTTTTAGGGATTGGCTAGCTTCACTTAGCATAATCTGCTCTAATGCCATCCATTTCCCTGCAAATTCTATGATTTTGTCATTTTTTAATGCAGAGTAATACTCCATTGTGTATAAATGCCACATTTTTTTATCCATTCGTCTATTGAAGGGCATCTAGGTTGGTTCCACAGTCTTGCTATTGTGAATTGTGCTGCTATGAACATCGATGTAGCAGTGTCCCTGTAGCATGCACTTTTTAGGTCTTTAGGGAATAGACCGAGAAGGGGAATAGCTGGGTTAAATGGTGGCTCCATTCCCAGCTTTCCAAGAAATCTCCATACTGCTTTCCAAATTGGCCACACCAATTTGCAGTCCCACCAGCAATGTACAAGTGTACCCTTTTCCCCACATCCTCGCCAGCACTTGTTGCTGTTTGACTTCATAATGGCTGCCAATCTAACTGGAGTGAGATGGTATCTTAGGGTGGTTTTGATTTGCATTTCTCTGACTGCTAGAGATGGTGAGCATTTTTTCATGTACTTGTTGATTGATTGTATGTCCTCCTCTGAGAAGTGTCTGTTCAGGTCCTTGGCCCATTTGTTGATTGGGTTATTTGTTATCTTATTGTCTAATTTTTTGAGTTCTTTGTATACTCTGGATATTAGGGCTCTATCTGAAGTGTGAGGAGTAAAGATTTGTTCCCAGGATGTAGGCTCCCTATTTACCTCTCTTATTGTTTCTTTTGCTGAGAAAAAACTTTTTAGTTTGAGTAAGTCCCATTTGTTGATTCTAGTTATTAACTTTTGTGCTATGGGTGTCCTATTGAGGAATTTGGAGCCCGACCCCACAGTATGTAGATCGTAGCCAACTTTTTCTTCTATCAGACGGCGTGTCTCTGATTTGATATCAAGCTCCTTGATCCATTTTGAATTCACTTTTGTGCATGGCGAGAGAAAGGGATTCAGTTTCATTTTGTTGCATATGGATTTCCAGTTTTCCCAGCACCATTTGTTGAAGATGCTATCCTTCCTCCATTGCATGCTTTTAGCCCCTTGATAAAACACTTTCATATGTTTGAATGCATGTTGAATACCTGCTACCCAGAGGTGAGAGCCAACACCTATACTCTTGATAGGTTGTTAGCCATCTGTCTTATTTACCACTACCTCCCCTGCACTAGAAAAGCATCTGGCATAGAGTAGCCACTCCCTAAGTATTTGTTTAATTAATAACTAATTTCAGTTACTGAAATTATAGCAAGGGGTTGTAATTTTGTTTATTCATATCTTTGTTTCCCTTGTTTGTTTGTTTTTTAATTCTCTTTCTGTACAAAGAACCTGGAAATAAGATTTAAAACAAACATTTTTTTTTCCTAATCTTGCATATTGTTTGGCTGCTTTTTTCCTACCTCCATTCATGGAACATTTTTGAGAAAACCATTTCTGTAATAAACATACCTTCTCTTTCAGATCAAAGTGCCAGCAAGTCAGAATATAAAACAGCTGCAAGATTAATTAATCTTACAGTTCATTTGAATGCGATAAATACTTTATTAGAAAAGAACCCAGAGATAAAAAGCAATTAATGATTGTCTAGTATTATATTCTGATACAAAGCCTAGGCATCTGTGTTCAGCTAAAGATAATGTGACAATATCTCAGTTTCTTGATGATTGCTCCACAATCCTAGTGTTCTGGGTGTGGGGGCAATCATCAAGAAACTGAGATATTGATAGATTTTTGTAGCAAATGAGAAATTGGGAGCGTCTGTATTTTCTACACAGAACATCTCCCAAAGTGGCCGTCACTCGGGCTTAGCATCTTTCTAGCCTCACCTATTAAGATTGTCTTGTGTATAATCAGCTCCCGAATTGTGCCAGTCTTCCCCAGAATCCTTATCTATTCCTTGCAAATTTTGCAGACAGCAGATCCTTAGGAACTATCACCCTCATGGATACAGTCACTCCCACAGTGTCATTGTTGAGTCAGATAGACCTTTATTTTAAGTTAAGCTACTCAACATATTTAGGTAAATTAAATTACCTTTCTGAGCTTCAATATCCTCACCAGTAAAATGGACATAGCAATTCCCTTATCATAAGGTTGTGATGGGGATTAAATGAGAGCTCGTGCTTTAAAAGTGGCAAGCATGCCATAATCCCAGCAACTAGGGAGACTGAGGAAGGAGGATTGCAAGTTCAAGGCCAGCCTCAGCAATTTAGCAAGGCCCTAGGCAACTTAATGAGAACTTGTCTCAAAATAAAAAGGGCTGGGGATGTGGCTCTGTGATTAAGCATCCCCGGGTTCAGTACCTAGCACCCCCTCCCCCAACAAAACAAAAAGAAGAAGGAGGAAAGAAAAAGTGGCAAGCATGAAGTGTTTTTTAAAAAAATGGCAGCAGCTGTGATTGGGGGGCGTTGGGTTTCTCACCTTCTGATTGTGACTTAATTGGCAATCCAAAGGAAAGGAAGTAATATGAACCTGAACGTTTCAATATCTCTGAAGACAGGATATGAATCTCTTTTACATCACAGAGTTATCAAGGGAAGGTGTCCCTCAACATCCTACTGGAAGAAAGTCATGACTGCTCTATCCTGGCTACTCAGAGGATGCTATCAGCATCACTGCGGCTTGTTGGAAATACAGACCTCAGGCCCCACTCTGGACCTACCAAATCAGCATCTGAATTCTGCAAGATCTTAGGGTAGTTTCTAAAGTTTGGTAAGCAAGGGTTAGTGTGCATAATAATATAGCAATAGCAACAGTGAATACTTAAAATTTTGTTCTGCCCCTGATGCTGTGCTAAGGGCTTCAAATACCTTATTTCCACTTGAATGTTAACTTTCTGAGGACAGAATGTTTGATTTGTTCACTGTATCACTCCACTGCTGAGAGCAGTGCCTACCTAGTAGAAAGTGTGGGGGAATGCATCAAAGATCTCCATCCATCCTCCCAAAAATCCCATGAAGTTGTGGTTGTCTCTCTCCAATCTCTGGATGAGAACTTAAATAATTTAGCAAATTTTTCTTTTAAAGTGATAAGTAGTTAAGGATGGTCTCACACCCAGGTCCAAACCCAAATTCCTAGATACAAACTACTTTGAAAGTAGACATTTCTTCCCAATTTATTCATTAGCTCTATTTACATTTCATAGATATCTCAAGCCCCTATTTTAGAGTAGTTTAGACCAAAAGTTCCATCTTTTTTTGTTCTAGCACATTACCACTCTATTTGATATTAAAGATAGGCTGAGATAATGAGAAAAATATAGACAGATGACAGGTATAACTAACTGTGTTTCTGTCCTTTTTTCACCAACCATATGGCATTAGAAAAGTTCCCAGTTTTTCTGAGTTTTTGTTAAATATCAGTAAAATAATGAAAAATCAGTAAAATATTGATACCACTACTTGCTTCACAATGCTGTGAGATAGATGCAATTATATGAAATTTTTGGTACAATTTTTATTGCGATATTTAAAAATTAGACAAACAACTAAATTTTGCTTTCCCATCCAGTTTTGCACGGGGAGCTTCTGAAGTCTATTAGATATGACATGGTTGCACACTGGCTTCTCACTTACAGTAGATTGATTTCTGCCCCTGTAAAATGGGGATCCTAATAGCACTGATACCCCTAGGGTAGTTGTGGGAATGATAGGGCTTAATACACATGAAGAGTTTTGAATATGCTTCATCAAGGTCAGCTCATATCATCATTACTATTCCTACCTGCTCCACCTGTCCTGAAAGTCCCCTTCCCTCCCCAGACTTCCATTTAGAAAATGGAGCCTTCATTTTCTAAAATCTAAGGAAGCTTCCTTAAAAAAAAAAAAAAAAAGTAGGTCTCTGCTTGTGCCTCAAGGAAGTCACCTGCATTTGTGACTTTTTCCAGGGCAGAGTAAGTAGGGACAACCCCAGCTTAAATAGATGTCTAAGTCCATCCCAGTCATCTTATAATGTCTCCCATTAGACAGACTCTCTAGGCAGTGAAGTGGCCCTGTTCCTCAGAGTGGCCTGGCTACTGAAGGAGGGGGCTACAATGGCCTGTCTTTCCTTCCTCCTAAGACAAGATTCAGACACACTAAGGATACTTTACCTGAAATGGCAAAGCCACTAAATCCTACAGCAAGCACCAGAAAGGAGATAGCCACCCCTTTGGTGTGGGAAAAGCCAACCACCAGGAGCAAGGTTGCCTCCATGCCAAAACCTGCAAATGGAAACAGTGGGGGGGGGGAGTGTCATTTTCATGTCAGCTAGAGGTTATTAATTTATCAAATAAGAATGAATCCATATTTCCATGGGCCTAGGTTTTGCTCCATACGTTCTAGCACAATGCTATTACCCAGATGGGATAGTCTGTGAACTTGATAACATTATCTTGGTGCACATTGAACACCAAATGGTTCCAGTGATGTTCCTGGGATGCAGAATGTTATTAGTCACTTCATGAGTAGTTGTACATACTCTTTCTAAATACTAAAACTCTTCTACATGCTTTTACTGATTCTTTGTTTGACTACATAGGTTATGGCCTCCCACATAAAAATAACATGACAAAATGGACATAGTGCTGTACATTTGTGATCACGGTTGTTCAGGTGGCTAAGGCAGGAGGACTATGAATTCAAGGCCAGCCCAGGCAATTTAGCAAGATCCTGTCTCAAAATATTTTTTTTTAAATAGGGGGAGGAGTGTACCTCAGGGATAGAGTGCTTGCCTAGCAAGTGTGAAGCCCTGAGTTCAATCCCCAATAGCACAAAAAAATAAAATTAAAATCACACAACAATATTAATATTTATTGCCAGAAATGGCCAGAAAGCTGTAGTAGATAAATATCTGAAATAAAAATCAGGGCCTGACTGCTTGTAACAGAGAAAGCAAAATTCTTCACCAAATCTTAGATATTTGCATAAAAACACAGCAGGACAAAAGTACTTTCTGTTCCTTTCATTCAAAATAAGTGAGTCCAGCACAATAAAAATGGATGAGAAAATTATGAAGAAATTTCTTCTCATAAAAAAAAAGTCAGCCCACAGCAGACAAATAAATACCATTTGCAGTATGTGAAGTGCCCTGGAAACGGGGAGACAATCAGCGATGCTTCATTCTGGAGACTGCTGATGCTAGACATCTCCACACCACTGACCTACAGTTACATCAAAGGCAACATACCCAAACCACGTCTCAGTTCCCCTACTTTTTTACTCCTATGAAAAATGAAGCAACCACCACCAATAGGTTCTTTGTTTTCCTTCTCTAAATTAATCTACTAATATTCGTGTTTAGGACCCAGATTATAAAAGTCAGATGAGATTGGCATTCAGTTCCACCTCAGAATCACTGATTGTGTAATCCTGGACAAGTTACTTCACCTCTTCAATTCCTCACTGGAAAAAAAAATGGAGATAATAATATAACCTTGTAGCATACTGGGAGACGAAATGCAATTGCATATGTGAGGTGGATGGGCACTGTTCAACAAATGGATACCAAAAGCCCAATGCAGAAACTTGAGAATCATCTTGAATTTCTCTTCTTTCCTCTGCTTTCACATAAAAATCTATGGGTTTGTCCTCAAAAATATCTACCAACTTCTACAGTACCTCCACAGTTCATGATCTTTCTGACAGCAGTTGTGGTCAAAATTTTCCTGCTTCTTAAATAATCAGCCAATTGCCCTCCAATAGGCACAACGATTGTCATCACCATGTGTGGGACTGCCGACAAGAGACCCACCTGGAAGAAAAAAGCACATTTCTTCTAAGAGATGCATCTGTCATTTCCTGCTCCCCCTCATTCCACTGCCCCACAGCCTCCACCAAATTTAGTCATTTAATGTGGGATCCAGGATGGTCTGAATGTCAGAATAAACACAACGAACAAGTGAATGATTTTGAACATGATGATGACTCTTATTCATCACAGAGGCCCCAGCAGCCAGCACAGGGATCGGTACTTAAAAGGCAGACCACTTGGCACAGAGTAAGTGCTCACTGGTGGCAGCCACCATTTGGTGACTCTACTAGTTCTTCCATAGTACCCATAGCTATGCAGACATAGACCTCTGCTAGGCTCTTGCTTCTTCCCTGTAGGAAGAAGATTTTTTTCTTTTATGATGATAGTTTGTTTCACCATCAAAATCTTCCCTCCCTGTAAACAGCCTAATGAAAGTGGCTGGGGACACTGAAGGACATTCTTTCTAAACCATCCCAAGCAATTGTTATTACTGCTACTGCCAGCACTATGGAGAGAAGAGCATCTGAAAATGAACTTTTAAGGTTCTTTCTATGGAGTAGTTTATAGGGAGAAAAGAAAGCACATCTTTTTATCCTTAAAATACATTGAGTTAACTTCAAAAACGCCTTGAAATTAGGTACAAATAAAATTTTTACAAGCAGCTTAATACAGCTCTGATCCTGGCTGGGGACATAGCTCAGTTGGTAGGGTGCTTGCCTCGCATGCACAAGGCCCTGGGTTCAATCCTCAGCACCACCAAAAAAAGAAAAAAAAAAAAATACAGCTCTGATCCTAAGAAAAAATTAAATATCCAATATACCATGCACTGAATATATAACTTGTCTGACCTCCAAGTTATTAGATGTCACAGACCAGTTATGAGTTATAATCAGCAATTTAATTATTTTATCATACAAATATATTCTCAGAATCAAGGGAGTTAAAGTTCAAGAATATTTGAAGCATATGTGTGTTTACCTTACTTATTGCAAATCCAAAGACCTCTTCAAAATAAGCAGGCTGACTTATTAAGAGTAGATAAAAGGTCCAGCTTCTACAAAAATTTGCCACAATGATTGCATAAACCGGCAATGATGTGAAAAATCTTTTCCATGGTGTATTAAATTTCTAAAGAGTGAAAATATTATGAGATTTTTCATGAAAATATTGGCATCTTATTTTTTTAAGAGTATGACACAATTACTAAGAGAAATATCCATATGAAAGAGGCAAGACTTTATCTTTCCATTTAGACTTACATTTAGACTGGCCAAGTTGGCACCTTCTCCAATGCTTGTCTCTATATATGTCTTCTCCTCATTGGATATTGTGGGGTGAGCTGCAGGGCACTCATAGGCCTGCAACAGCCAGAACATGTACCAGATAATTCCAAGCATACCTGCAGTTAAAAAACAGAAGGCTTGATGATATAGTCTAATTGTCTTCCTTCTCTCAATTTTTCAATTTTTAAAATATTCCAAAATTACAATAAGAATTTTTCAGCTAAGAGAAATTATTTTGTTATATTTTCCTGTTGTTGTTTACAGGTATTTAAAGAAAAATAATGTTCTACTAGTTAAAAAAAAACAAGTTTAATAAAAGTATTAAATTAAACTAAAAAAATAAGTGTTCCTTTTATGTAATAAATTGGTCTTAGTGACCTCTATTTTCATATAATAAACTCTTAGCCAAACCTTTCTAGAATTAAGCGCCATCTTCATGAGTCATGGTGTGAACACATAATGACAAACCACTCACCATAAATATAAAAGACAGAGGCCCATCCAATGTACTGCACCAATACCCCAGCCAGAGGCATGGCAATCACTGCACCCGCATAGGAGCCTGGAACCAGAAAAGATGGAGGGAAATTGACCAGTCACCATGCAAACCTTCTCAACCCATTTTCATGTGACAAAGCTCAGGACAAATCAAACTGAGCCTGGGTCTGACTGCCTCTGTGGGACGAGCCAGGCTAACTCCCAGTGTGCCTAAAACAGGACTCCCAGGAAAGGAAGGCTACCAGGATACCCTTGAGCTTCACCCAGGGACCATCCAGGGATTATACCAAGATTTCTCAGGTGCCACAAAGTAGAAGGACATGAGAGAATGGAATCAGAAGATGAGAAAAATCTAGGAGAAATTTTTTAAATGTAAACAGGCACAATATTGGGTGCTGAAGATAGTAAGCGAAAGAACATATGGAACCTGCCTTGTAGAGTTCACAGCTGGGAGGATTCTCACCTCCATCCTTAAATAAGAGACACTGAACTATTAAAAGGATTATGTTTTTTTATAGACTTGATGTTTAAAAAAAGAAAAAGAAACAGTTGAATTCCAGGATGGCAGGAAGGCTCTTGTCTCCATTCACTTCCCAAGTAGATACATTTTGAAAGTTTATTTCTGTGGAATAAAAATTATAGGAGGCCATTATTTTGGATGAGGTTCTTGCACTGGACCCCAACAGACCAGACTAAAAATCAAAATGAAGTTACTCATGCTAAAGTTTCACCAATCCAAAATTAAACTATTTATCTAACTTTTCTTTTTTGGTGTTTACCTATATTTTATTTATTTATTCGTTTGTTTTCAATGTGGTGCTGAGGATCAAACCCTATGCCTCACATGTACTAGGTAAACAGTCTGCCACCGAGCTACAGTCCCAGCCCCTTATCTGACTTTTCAGGAAACCAGGAGAAATGAGAGAACAGCCAATATCCCAAACAGGCCAGTTTAATTGGCATAATGGAGTTCTCCATGTCTTAATATTTAGACAAAAAAGGTAACCTGATGTTAGCCAGATATTTTTTATTGTTCTATGTATTTGTCCCTACTGTCCTTCAAGGAAAGTAACTTTGAAATGATCAGTCTGCTTTTTGTTCTTTGTTTCTGCTTATTTCAGACCTTTTCTGTCCATAAAATCAACCTCTTCTGTTCAAGCCATTTGAAATAATCATTTTATTTTCTGAAATGAACTGCTGCTGATTCTACAATCAAAAATAAAGCCAATTAAGATCCTTAAGCTAGCCAGGTGTCCATCTGTAATTCCAGCAACTTGTAAGGCTGAGATAGAATTGCAAGATGGAGGCTACCCTGGGAAATTTAGCAAGAATTGTCTCTAAATAAAAAGGACTGGGAATATAGCTCACAGGTAAAGCCTCCCTAGATTCAATCCCCAGTACCAGAAAAAAAAAGATATTTAAATTGTTGTAATTTTGTCCTTTTACATTTCTCACTTTGTAAATACTTAACTTTGTAAATAGTTACCTATGTAAGGTAAAATAATAAGATATCTAGACAAGATAATAAGGGCTACAGGCAGGGAAGTGGAGCACCTGTCTTCTACAGCTACAGGACATCTGGAAAGAAAACACTACCCCTGCAAACTCCCAACAAATACTAACTGAATTGAAAAATTACTATCTGAAACTCTCCCTGGGCCTTGGATGAGAAATTCTTGCTTCATAAAAATAAGCATCATGTAAGGAAATTCCACATTCCAGAATCCAATGCTAAAGAAGATTTTTAGGAAATGGGAAGTGGGGGATCTTCCAGAGAAATGGATTAAACCATATCTTTCTGAACTGGCCTGACTTTCTAAGAAAGGCCCAACATGGAATCTGGAATCATTAATACTATACCCAAGGAAGTTGAAAGAGTCATTCACAAATAAAATAGGAATGAAATATCTGTCTTATGAGGTTGATTTGAGGGTAAACTAAACTATGTATATGAGATGCTTTGTAAGCTATAAAGGGTTACATAAACACTATATAAGCTAAACTCAAGTCCAACATCATTCTAAATGGACAAAAACTGAAAGAATTCCCTCTAAAAAACTGGAACAAAACAGGGATGGCCTCTTTGATTCAACATAGTCCTGGAAACTCTAGCCAGAGCACTTAGACAAAAGAAAGATATTAAAGGGATAAAAATAGGAAAAGAAGAACTCAAACTATTTCTATTTGACAACGACATGAATCTATATTTAGAAGACCCCCAAAACGCTACCAGAAAACTTGTAGAACTCATAAATGAATTCAGCAAAGGAGCACGATATAAAATTAACACCCATAAATCAATTATGTTCCTATACCTCAGTGATAAAACAACTGAAAGAGAAATAAGGAGAACTATCCCACTCACAATAGCCTAGAAAAAAATAAAATATTGGGGAATCAATCTAACAAGAGAGGAGAAAGACCTTTACAATAAAAACTATAGAATACTAAAGAAAGAAATTGAAGAAGACCTTAAAAGATAGAAAAACCCCCCATGTTCTTAGATAGGCAAAAGTAATATTGTCACAATGCCATACTACCAAAAGTGCTATACAGATTTAATGAAATTCCTATTAAGGTTCCGATGATTCGATGATGTTTTTCATAGAAATAGAGAAAGCAGATATAAAATTCATTTGAAAAAATAAGAGGACCAGAATAGCCAAAGTAATCCTCAGTGAGAAAAGTGAATCAGGAGGCATCACAATACCAGACCTTAAATTATACTACAAAGCTATAGTAACAAAAATGGCATGGAATTGGCAGACATGAAGACCAATGGAATAGAACAGAAGACACAGAGACAAACCCACAAAAATGCAGTTATCTCATACTTAACAAAGGCACCATAATTATACATTGAAGAAAAGATAGCCTCTTCAACAAATGGAAAACTGGAAATCCATATGTACTAGGATGAAATTAGACCTCTATCTCTCATTCTACACAAAACTCAAAGTGGATCAAGGACCTAGGAATTAGACCAAAGACCCTGTGCCTACTTGAAGAAAAAGTAGGCCCAAATCTCCATCGTGTTGGCTTAGGAACTGAATTCCTCAACAAGACTCCTAAAGTACAAGAAGTGAAATCAAGAATCAATAAATGGGATGTATCAAACTAAAAAGCTTCTTCACAGCAAAGGAAACAATCAAGAACATGAAGAACAGCCTAAAAATGGGAGAAAAATTTTACCACCTGCACTTCAGACACAGCATTAATCTCCAGGATATACAGAGAACTTAAAAAACTTAACACCAAAAAAACAAATAACCCAATCAATAAATAGGCAGAGGAATTGAACAGACACTTCATAGAAAAATAAATACAACTGGTCAAAAAATATATGAAAAAAATGTTCAACATCTCTAGCAATTAGAGAAATGCAAATCAAAACTACACTGAGATGTCATCTCACTCCAATCAGAATGGCAATTATCAAGAATATAAGTAACAATAAATGTTGGCAAGGATGTAGGGGAAAAGATTCACTCATACATTGTTGATTCACTCATACATTGACAAATTTCCCCATCCTGGAAAGCAGTATAGATTTTCCTCAGAAAACTTGGAATGGAACCACCATTTGACCCAGTTATCCCCACTCCATGGTTTATACCCAAAAGACTTAAAATCATCATACTATAGTAATGCAGCCACATCAATGTTTATAGCAGCTCAATTCACAAGAGCTAAACTAAGGAACAAAACTAGATTCCCTTAAACAAATGAATGGATAAAAAAAACCTGATACATATACACAATTGTATATTACTCAGCCATAAAGAAGAATGAAATGATGGCATTAAATGAATGGAACTGAAGACTATCATGCTAAGTGAAATAAACCAATCCTAAAAAACCAAAGGTTGCTGGGCTGGGATTGTGGCTCAGTGGTAGAGCGCTCGCCTAGCACGGGCGGGACCCAGGTTCGATCCTCAGCACCACATAAAAATAAAGGTATTGTGTTGTGTCCATCTACACCTAGAAAAAAATATTTAAAAAAAAAAAAACCAAAGGCTGAATGTTCTCTCTGACATGTGGATGCTGACTCACAATGGGGGTCAAGAGGAGGGAGGAGTGGAAGTTCACTGGTTTGGAGGGGAATTGGGGGAAAACCAGGAGGGGACAGGAATGGGAAAGACAGTACAATAAATTGGACATAACATTCCTATGTTCATATATATATGAACATATATGTGTTCATATTTGTGTAACTCCACATCATGTACAACCACAAGAATGGGAAGTTAGGGGCTGGGGTTGTGGCTCAGTGGTAGAGTGCTTGTCTAGCAAGTGTGAAGCACTGGGTTCAATTCTCAGCACTTACATATAAATAAATAAATAAAATAAAGGTCCATCAACATCTGAAATAATTTTTTTAATAGAATGGGAAGTTATACTCCACGTATGTATGTATGATATGTCAAAATATATTCTATTGTCATGTGTAACTAAAAAGAACAAATAAATTTTTTTTAAATAAAGGGTTATATAAACCAGATGCAGTAGCACATGCCTATAATCCCAGCAACTGGGAAAGTTGACACAAAAGAATCACAAGTTCAAGACCAGCCTGAACAACTTTAGCAAGACCCTGTTTCAAAATTTAAAAAATTGGGGCTGGGGATATGCTCAAATAGTAGCGCACTCGCCTGGCATGCGTAAGGCACTGGGCTTGATCCTCAGCACCACAGAAAAATAAAATAAAGGTATTGTGTCCACTAAAGCTAAAAAATAAATATTAAAAAATAAATAAATAATAAAAAGGGCAAAAGATGTGGCTTAATGGTAGAGTGGCTCTGGGTTCCATCCCCTGCAGTACAATAAATAAATAAATACTTACACAAATGCCAACTGTTATGGCTTTTGTCATGTACAGAATAACTGCACTTTTTTTTTTAACCTCAGAATTCTTCAAGCCGATAAGGAAAGCACTTCAGTATGTATGTCAGAAAAAGGCTGCTGCTCTGACTGTGTGTGTGGAGAAGGTGGTCTTCTATCCCAGGCCGATATGCTGGGAGGGGGTAGGTGATACCAAGGCATGCCTGGGACAGGGAGGGTCAGGAATAACCAAGAGCAACTATGAGGCATTGAGTGCTTTCTGTGTGCTGAGTACTCTTCTGAGTACCCTGTCCCCATGATTTTATTCAGCCCTTCAGCTTGATGACTTGGGTGCCAATATTTCCATTTTATAAGAGAAAACAAGCCTAGGGAAGGTGGAGTAAATTGCCTGAGGTCACACAGATGTAAGTGCTTTTCTGTGGGACTCTGAAACCTTCACCTGTAATAATTCAGTCTTGCCTCTACCCAAAAAAGCCCAATAATTCCTCATTGTAAGGAGGAGTCTGTCATTGGGAAAACTACAACTTGACATTCTTCCCTGGCTATCCAACTCTTCTCTTTCCTTTCAGACAGGGCTCCAATGTCAGCTCCTTGAGCATTTCCCTAACAGCACTCAGCCTTTATATGGCGCCTGCAGGCCACCCTGGCCGCAGAATGCACTTGGCTTCCTTGTGTGCTCACTGTAGAGAAGGTCCCCAAAGACCATTGAGTGGCATGGGGAGGGGGAGTAGCAGACTTGGGGGTGGGGACAGTCCCCAATTCTTCCCCATTTACTATGAGGATTCCAATCTTATTTTCCTCACTGAGCCTCATTTTCGGTTTTTTTCAGCTGTCAAACAATGAAGTGTGACTAGATGTTTCCTAGAGTTCTCTTCTCACTCCAAAATCTTTTGATGAAAAACTAATGAACCCCAACCCTGGGTTTCCTTCTACTGACAGTTCCTGCGGATGTTCTTTAATAGTGCCACACCTTAACTGAGAAATGTAATAAGGCCAGTGACTTTGATCAGATAACTTTCCTTGAGATTCAGGCCATTTCTTAAATCAGCCCTATTAGGGTCATAAAAACATACTAAGAATGGGGAGTGGCTGGGAGTCATTTTCATTTTGCTGGGAAAATCAAAATGAAAGACCTTAACAAACCAACCATCCAAAGAAAGCAAGGTCAAGATTCCAATAATCCACAAGGTCAGCAGGGGTGGAGTCTTATACTCCTCTAGGGGTGGTATAAGTTCAGTAGTAGGGTGGAGATGTTCTTGAACTACAAACAAGAGGCCAGAGATGGCTTCTAAAGATAAGAAAGGCTAAAGATGTAAGACAGCTGTCCATGCAATTCCAAATGAGGCACTACACAGGGACATTGTTGAATAGTTCATACCAAATTCCCAACAAACACTTTACTGATATTATTCTTTAAAGGAAATAAAGAGTGAGGATGTGATAAATGAAAACACTCACAGAAATAAAGAGGAAGAAGTGCAGGTTAGTTTGTCTTACGAAGGCATCTGAGCTTGAAAAATCAGAGAAGAGAGGTGGAGCAAGAGGAGGACTAAGGAAGCCCCTCCAGGAATTTCTCTCCACAAACTGACCACTTTGGGCTCTTTTGTTTGTGTTTGTTTGCTTGTTTGTTTTGAGATGCTGAGAATCAACCCAGGTCTTCAAACATGCTAGGCAAGTACTTTACCTCTGAGCTGCAACCCCAGCACAGACAGACCAATTAGAACAGCTACTCACACACCAAACTATCTTTACAGCAGCTAAGGAAGCCAGCTAAACTATGCTAGGAAATACTAAGGAGGTTTAAAGAGGAAGAGTTAACAGCTTCCAGAATAAATTCTTTAATTATGAAAAAAATAAAACTAGTATTTGGAATCATGCTGAGAGTAGATTGGCTCATATGGACAAAGACAGTAAAATAAGAACTCAGGGATTGTATGATACTAGCTCTTTGAGGAAAAGGACTTTGATTCCTACATAAGGAATCTGAATATCAACAAAGCAGAGAGATCTACTTAGGCTGGAGCAACAACCAGGAGTCTATGGCCAAATCTTCCCACTCTAAACTAGAACCATATCTTCCTAGAATAAAAACTAGGAATTTAAGAGTAAAAGTTCCTAAAATGATTATATGACTAAAATGTATTCCAAATATAGTATGTAAAAGCAACTTTTCTTACAGCAAGTGATTCTTTCATAGGCATAAACTGGTTGGTTTGTTTATACTGGGGATTGAATACGGAGCCCTTTACCACAGAGCTACACACCCAGTCCTTTTTTAAAAAAAAATATATATATATTGGGAATGCTTTTCTATTTTTATGAATCCAATGACTTTTTTTTTTAATTGTCGATGGGGCCTTTATTTATTTATTCATACACAATGCCGAGAACCAAACCCAGTGCCTCACACATGCTAGGCAAGTGCTCTACCACTAAGCAACAACCTAGCCCTCCTTTTGGTTTTTTATTTTGAGACAGGGTCTCCCTAAGTTGCTGAGGATCTTTCTAAGTTGCCCAGGCAGCCCTCAAATTTGTGATCCTCCTGCCCCAGCCTTCTGAGTCACTGAGATTATAGGTATGCACCACCACACCGAGTAGAAATTGTTTTTTTTTTTAAAAAAAGACTGTCACCTCTCATGGTATTTATTTTAATGATTATACTATAATGAATCAATAAAAATAATAGTTATTTTAAAAAAGAGTGGGGGGAGGAAGAAAGCAAACAAAACAAAACAAAAAAAATAAGACCAACCTAAGTTCCAATCCTAACCGCTTGGGCCATATAGCAAATTTTACACCCTAAGAGGCAAAAAACATACACTTTACAACTGTGTTGATGGCAGCAGCATATGCTGTCCATTTCCTGTTGATCAATACCTAGGTAAAACCCCTCAGAACACTGAGTCCTCCCAGTGATACCAGAAGGGTCAATCCCAAAGGGGTGGCTTAGAGTAAGGCAGACTTAGCAAGGTGAGGTTTGGAGCCCCAGGAATTAAAGTCCTATCATGACTTGGGGCCACTAGTCTACGCTGAGGTAAGATGAATGAGGTCCACTTCATTTATATCAGGAATATAATGGCAACAAGTAATTTAAATACCTATGTGAAACCCATACATGGTAGTAGTGTGAAGTAAGGAAAGTTCCATACCTAGAGTCAGGTGGTCTCATTCCACCTCCTCAATGGAGCATCTGTGTGACAGGGAGCAAGTCTTGGGCTTTAGTTTCAATGTAAAAAGAAGAAAAGTGGGAGGCTTAATTATCCCATCTCTTCTATTTTCATCCTTGGCAAATGTCATTTGTTGGCTAGTTCAACAACCACTTCTAACACCGTCTTTCTTCTCCTTCTCTACTGTAAAGGTGGGAAAAATAGACTCTTGCTTTCCTAACCTTCTCTGCACATAGGAAAGCATGACACCTGAGCAAAAGTAGGGTAGGGAGGTTTGCAAAAGGTTTTGACTTCCTGATGAAAGCGCCACATGGAGCAAGCCTGAGAATAAAAAAATGATCACTCTAAGGACTGCAGAGCAGAAGTCAGAATCTGTCTATGACTTGATGGATCATTTGAGCCCCAGAACCAACACCAGCAACCACTCGCCTTTGGAATTCTCTTGGTGAAAAGAGTAGACTCTATTTAAGGTCTTAGCAGGGTTTCAGTTACTTGGAGTCAAAAAGCATTTCTAAATGAAACGTGCTGAGATTCTAAGATCCTTACCACAAAAGGAAGTAGTGGCCAGCCGACTTCTCTCCAAAGGTGGTGCCCACTTGCTCCACATCCCATGGCAGGCTGGGTAGGTCACACCCTAGTAGAAAGATTGAAGACAGATTATTAAGTTTGACTCCAATTTCTGTGTTTAAAGCATGGATGCTGCCTCTTCACACAGGCTATAGTATAAAAACCCAGTATAGACACACTGCTATAGATTGAAGTTTGTATCCCCCATCAAATGCCTATGTGGAAAGGTAATCCCCAGTATGATGGTCCCCAGTTGGAAATGGACCTCTGGGAGGTGATTAGGGCATGAGGATAGTCCTCAGGAATAGGATTGATGCCCCTATATGAGACTCCAGAGAGCACCGTTGCCCTTTCTGTACATGAGGACACAGAGAGAAGATGACTATTTGTGGTCCAGGAAATGGGCACGGAATCTGCTGAATTTGCCTGATACTTAGACATCCCAACCATGAGAAATAAATTTCTATTGTTTATGGCATTTTATTATAGAAGTTCAAACAGATTGAAAAGCCACTAAATAGCATAATACAGTTATTTTGACTTATAACACAGATACTGAAATTCAAACACAATTCAATGCAAGCATGGTGGACAGTTGGAAGGAAGTCTTTATATTTGATATTATTAAAGAATTTCAGTGTTGGAAGTGACTTCCACTGTCAATTCCCCTCATTGTTTAAAAAGTATTTTATTTTAATGAGGAATGCCATTTGATAACTTTTAACAAGGATTTTTTTAAACATTTATTTTTTAGGTGTGAGTAGACACAATACCTTTGTTTTATTTTTACGTGGTGCTGAGGATCAAACCCAGTGCTTCATGCATGCTAGGCAAGTGCTCTACCTCTGAGCTACAGGCCCAGCCCCAATTTCCCTCATTTTAAGACCCAGAATCTGAAGCTAAAAGACATTAAGTGTCTTCTAGATCTTTGTCTTCATGGCTGCTAATGTTGCATTCTTTCTACCACTTCAGTGTTTCCCAAAGTATGGCCTATATCCCTCCAGTGGGACTAGAATGGGACTAGAACTGGATTTGAGATGCAATAATAATATACATCTTAGTTATAATAGTTACATATATATTCTAATATGCTTTAGACAAAAATATAAATAACAACCTCAAACCCATAATTTCAAAGATACTGTTGTGTAGACTAAGGGCTTTTGTTTTATTTTTGAAGAGAGTTGATCTAGGCAATAACAATGGGCAAACAGTAAGACAAGTCATACATGGATATGACAAAGGTTAGATAGAGGTGAATGTCGGAGTTTGGAAAATGTTGCTATTCATCAGGAGTTAGTAAATATGACCCAATTTGACCCACCATTTGTTTTTGTACAAGATTTTTACATTTTAAAGTCCTTAAGAAAAAAATTAAAAGAAGATGCATGGCACACACAAATCATGTGAAAATCAAATTTCAGGATCCAAAATGTTACTGGAACACAATCCTCCCCATTTGTTTCTACAATATCTGGGGCTCTTTTGTGCAATAATGGCAGCATCAAGTAGTTGCAAGCGTCACCATATGGACTGCAAACCTCAAAATATTTACCTTGCAGTTCTAAATGATGCTGCTTCCTCCACTGAATTATATCTTCACATCAGACTACACCTTAGAAATTTACAGAGGCTTTTTTCTTTTTTAATTTTGTCAGTACTGGGGATTGAACCCAGGGACATGGGGCATTCTACACTGAGTTACATCCCCAGCCCTTTTTAATTTTTGAGACAGTCTCTCACTAAGTTGCTGAAAGTCTTAAGTTGCTGAGGCTGCCCTCAAACTTGGAATCTTCCTCTGGAGTTGCTGGGATTATAGGTGCATGCCACTGCATCCAACAGAAATTTACAGATTGATTAATAAATGCATTTACAATGCCTTCACTAAAGGAAAGAGCTCTTGCTATGTGAACTGTGGGTTTAGGGCTTCAGTTTCATCATCTATTAGAATGAAAGGGGGCTGGGGTTGTGGCTCAGTGGCAGAGCGCTTGCCTAGCATGTGTGGGGCACTAGGTTGGATTCTCAGCACCACATATCAATAAATAAAATAAAGGTCCATGGACAACTAAAAAAATATTTTAAAAAAATGAAGGGGATTAGATTAGGTTATCTCTAAGATCACTACGGAATGAATAATCCTTTATTATGTATAAATGTGAAGGTGCACAAAGCATTTTAATTAAAATATTCATAACTACAACCATTACCAGAGAGCAGGAGAAGTAGGAGATAGGAAAACTGAGTAAAACCAAATTTTCTAAAGGACCATGCTGTCTTTAGCAATATCAAAAAGCATAAGGAAGTCAGGAGCAGTGGTGCACCCCTGTAATCCCAGTGGGTCAGGAGGCTAAGGCAGGAGGATCACAAGTTCAAAGCCAGTCTCAGTGGTGGCGAGGCACTAAGCAACTCAGTGAGACCCTGTCTCTAAATAAAAAACAAAATAGGGTTGTGGATGTGGCTCAGTGGCCGAGTGTCAATCCCCAGTACCCCCGCTCCCCCCCAAAAAAAATAGTAAGGAGAGTATATCTCCTACCTCCACTAGACCCTGCAAAATTCTGACACACATGACACAGCCGTAGTGCACTCTGGCCGCAGAAGGAATGAACATGTTCAAAGTTGATGTTAAGAAGATGGCAGCTCCAAAAACCCTAGGGGATCAAAGCACCGGGTTATTGGGCAGGCTAGTAATAGCTGAGGCACTTCAGTTAAACATCAGCAACCACTCCAACAGCTCATGAAAGAGCCTTATGGAAATTAAGAGAAATAAATACAAAGAAATAGATGGTGTGTTAGTGTCTTGGGTACCCAAAGCTAGACTCCTTGGTTGCTTTGATTCCCATGCTCCAGCCTGTGGACCAATTATGGATACATTTATGGCAGCAGCACAGAAATATCCTGCCTGGAAAGTTGCAAAATGACTAGGTTGAAGTGAACTTGCCAAAGACCCACCAATCTTCCTGGTTCCACCCTAGTGACCCTTCCTATTACTATGGCTTCTGCCTCTTCGGGTTTTTCCCTAATACTTCCCACACTGCTTTCAGTATACCATGAGGGGACACTGACTATCCAAGAAGCATCCTACCCTGACCAGCCCAGCACAAGACAAGCTAGGTGCTTGTCTTAGCCCCTATTTCCTGCCAGTACCACTTGCTATCTCCCTGCCTGGCCCAGGGTGTCCTGGCAAAAAAGAGCAGGAAGGTTTTCTTCCCTTCTGCCACATATTAGCGAAGCTTCAACTCTTTTTACAAGCTGGAAAATCAAATTATGTGTAATTTCTTTTTAGGGCAGAGATGCAAGCAGTAACTGGGTAGCTCATAGCAGCCAATATTTGACACATTTTTAAGAATAATACAATACATAAACAATAAATAAAACCTACAAATTAGCTAAGAGCGCTTGCCTGACACATGTAAGTCATTCATATTTAAATCTTATGATAATAACTTTCAAATTTTTGATCTTTTTTGAATTTTTTTTAGTTGTAGATGGACACAATGACTTTATTTTGTTTATTTATTTTTACATGGTGCTGAGAGTCGAACCCAGTGCCTCACATATGCCAGGCAAGCGCTCTACCACTGAGCCACAAGCCCAGCCCAAATTTTTCATCTTAACTCTTAAAATATATTTTATACTGCAGCCCAGTCTACACTTACACACACAAATGTAACTGCAACAAGTTTCTCAAACATCAATACCTATTCTTATATGCAATGCACTCAGATATGTTCTATTCTGTTTATTATTATTATCTTCTTTTCTATTTCTCTCTCTTTTTAAAAGAATGCTCATTGGTAAATCACTATGTTGATTTCACAATCATCTAATGAGTTGTATTTCAAAGTTTGGCATATGAGAAATACATCAAAAGGGGCCTAGAGATATTTGTACTTTTCTGAGACATGATATACTCCACAACATCTCCCCCAAGTGGTTGTCTTCCTCTGCTTGAATAGCTCTAAGTGACAGAGAACTCACTGCTTATTAAGACATCTAATTCTGTAATTAAACATTTAATTTGGGGCTGGGGTTGTGGCTCAGTGATAAATTGCTTGCCTAGCATGTGTGAGGCACTCGATTTAATTCTCAACCCCACAAATAAATTTAAAAAAATAAATAAAGGTCCATGAACAACTGGAAAAAAAACACTTAATTGCTCAAACAACTCCCATAGAGTCTTAAAAACATCTGGAAGTCTAGAGGCAAGTCCTTGACACTCACATAACAGAAACTTTATGGTACTGGGCAATATTAACATAAGTACATAGGATCATAGAACATCACTGGTCAAAGGGAAATAAAACACAATTTAGTCCAATGTTTCCATTTGAGATAATTGAGGCCCAGAGAGGGAGAGAAAGCAACTCAACAGAGATAACTTGGTGAACCAGATGAGAGGCCAGGAACCATTTCTTCAAGACTCAGAGCTAATTGTTCTCTTTACTACATAATCAATGAGTTGCACGGTAAAGTACATTTGTCAAAAAGTTAATTGAAAGAGACAATTAAGAGGATCATTTGGGATCAATATCTATGAACTGCATCTATCTAGATAATTCCTGTTTTTCATTCTGCACCCCAAAACAGAGAACCAACTATGAAACTTTTTTAAAGTACAAAGCCATGTTATAACCTGTGCAGCACTCACATCGGTCTTACCTGTTAGCTGCAAACTTGTTTGAAATGAACCCGCCAGGAATTTGTGTCACAATATAACCCCAGAAAAAAGATCCATGGATAAGGCCCACTGTCTCTGGATCCCAGTTAAACTGTGCCATCTGCAAATGAGAAATCAGATACGCTTGCGTTTGTAAGAAAACAACTGACCACCATTTTTCACTGATGATCCTACATAAAGATCCCATGAAGTCCTTCTTTCCTTCTTTTATTCCACAAAGACTCTCTAGAAGGCATCTTGCCCATTTTGGATACAGAAGTGATAGCAATGAGAGTCCTTTCTCTAATGAATCTTGCCTTCTAGTGCAAGAAAGGAGAGGTCTGTGCAAATTACTTGCATACATACGTGTGTGTGTGTGTGTGTGTACACATATATATAAATACATAGGTGTATTATCTGTATGTATGTGTATTACATATATAAATTAGATATATACGTACACATACCAAATAGTGATGAGTGCTAAATATAAAATAAAATAGCTTGTGAAGAAAACAAAAAATCAGTTCTAGGATTACTGGGTTATTTAGTAGATTATTCAGATATTAGTTCAGTGATAGCATAAAGGGAATCAAAGTCTTAAGTCTCTCATTTCTTAATGAGGATAATAAAAGCCATTCTACCTGCTTCACCCAGCTGCTGTCAATCACCTCACTCCTTTCTCATGCCTTTCTCTCTAAGTGGATAATGCTTCTCTGAAAGCAATGATACCTAAAATGGGCACTTGGGCCTACCAAGAATTTTTATCATTATTTGAGTCTCATTAAATCATAATGGTGGACCAAGGGCTTAAACAGACATTTCTCCAAGGAAGACATGCAGATGGCCATACATCTATATGAAAAGATGCTAAATGCCACCAATCATCAGGGAAATACAAGTCAAAACTATAATGAGATATTAGCTCATACCTGTCTTGATGGCCATTATCAAAAGAAAGATGGGGGCTGGGGTTGGGGCTCAGTAGTAGAGCGCTTGCCTGGTACATGTGAGGCACTGGGTTCAATCCTCAGTCCCACATAAAAATAAATAAATAAAATAAAGGTATTGTGTCCATCTACAAGTAATATATATATATATATATATATAAAATTTTTTTTTTAAGAAAGGATGATGACATGCACTAGTAAGGATGTGGAGAAACTGGAACACTTACTGCCTGTGGGAATATAGGATAGTGTGACCACTATAGAAAACAATATGGAGTCTCCTCAAAAATTAAAAATAGAACTAAAAATATGATACAGCAATTGTGCTTCTGGGTATTTGTGGGAGGCCATCCTCACATGTGATTTGAGTTACCTCCCTGGCTGGGTGAGAAAGCTCTGACACAGCTGTGACTAAGTGCCTCTCACCCAGCCAGGGAGGTAACTCAAATCACGTGGGAGGATGGCCTCCCACAGGTATTTACCCAAGAAAATTAAAATCTGGACCCCAAAGATATCTGCACTCTCATCTCCACTGAAGCAATATTCACAATAGCCAAGATATGGAAATGACAGAGTGACTGATGAGAGATGAATAAAGAAAATGTGGTGTATACATTTAATAAAATACAATTCAGCTTTTTGTTTTTAAAGAGAGCGAGAGAGAGAGAATTTTTTAATGTTTATTTTTCAGTTTTCGGCGGACACAACATCTTTGTTTGTATGTGGTGCTGAGGATCGAACCCGGGCCGCACGCATGCCAGGCGAGCGTGCTACCGCTTGAGCCACATCCCCAGCCCAATTCAGCTTTTAAAAAAGAAGGAAATTCAATAATGTCCAACAACTTGGATGTACTACAGGAAATACGACAGTCACAGAAGAATACCATTTTATTCCATTCACATGAAGCATCTGAAAGAGTCAAATTCACTGAATCAAAGTGTGATGGTGGTTGTCAGGGGCTGGAGAGAAATGGGAAGTTACTAACCAGTGGGCAGAAAGTTTCAGTCAAGCAAGATAAAAAAGGCTCTAGAGAGCTGCTGTACAATACCGTACTTACAAGCAACAATAATGGACACTTACAATTTATTAAGAGAGTAGCTCTCACAGTAAGCATTCTTATCACAATGGAATATTTTAAAGTATAAATTGTATGAACCATTACTATAATAATCCAAGCACTTTGTCAAGTACTGTGGTAGGCTGAAAAATGGTCCCCAAAAGATATCCACATGAAAGCCCTGGTAGATGTCAATGCTACCTTATTCAGAAAACTCGTCTTCACAGATGTGGAAAGTCAAAGACCTTAAAATAAAATATTCTGGATTATCTAGCTGAGCCCTAAGTCCAATGACAAGTATCCTTATAAGAGAAAGGCAGAGGGAGATTTGAATCTGAAGAGAAGACACAGAGAGAGGAAAAGGCCATGTGAAGATGGAGGGAGAGAATGGAGTGAAAGTCACAAACCAAGGAATTCTTGGAGCCACCAGAAGCTGGAAGAGTCAAGGAAGGAGTCCCTGCTAGAGACATCAGAGGAAGTGAGGCCCTGTCGACACTTTGATTCCAGACTTCTGGTCTCCACAAACTATAAGAGGATAAATTTCTGCTGTTTTAAGCTATCAGGTTTACGGAAATTTGTTATAGGGAGACTGATACAGGTATTTAAGATCCAATGAGTTAAATATTAAATTATCTCATTTGATCTTCAAAGGAGTCCTTTTATTTCCATCTCACAATAAGGTGGACGAGGGTTAGCAAAAAATTGCTAGAAATACTAGTTCCTGTCTCCTCCTAAGAGGATTCTGCCTCTCCTCCAGGGACTTCTCCCCTGCTGACCAGCATGGCTGATGGGGAGGTCAGAATAGAGAGAGCTAAACCATAGCCGAGACTCAGCTAATCTGCTTTTCTCTCCCCTGGATGGAGTATATCAGCCCCTCTTCAGGCTGGGCCCCTCCTGAACATGACACAGACCACACAAACAGCCATAACCAACCTGCTTCCTGCACTTCTCTTTCATGAGAATCCCCCTCAGCCCTTCAATAACCCCCTTTTGAACCTGACCTGGTCTCCCTGTACTTGTGTTCTTTTCAACCAGCAATCCCTGACCAGGACACAAGGGCAACTTGCTCAAGACCCCAGAACTAATAATAGCAATCAATTTAAAAAGGTCTGGCCAATTCCAAAGCCCATCCTCTTAATCTTATAAGACTTGTGATCGATGGGAAGGACTTTGGACTTTCCTGAAGGTATTGCAAAATAATCACAAGGTTTCTCAACCTTCAGTCATTTTTTTGCTTACCATATGCCAGATACTATTCTTAGTACTCCACGTGTTTTAACATTTTTTTTTGGGGGGGGGGGGTTACTGGGGATTGAACCTAGGGCCTTGAGCACACTTGAGCACACTAAGCACTAACCACTGAGTTGCACCTCCAATCCTAACACATAATTATTAAACTAAAAAATTATTATCCACATATGAGCTAAAAAATCACCCTTTATGCCACTTATAGAACACATGCCACATAATTATTTGGAAGACCAATGTATTCATACTACCTCTCCCCACCCCCATTCCCCCACCCTCTCTCTCTCTCTCTCTCTCAAATGAGGATTGCAACATTTCTTAGTGCAAAATATCTAGTTTTTCACCCCATAAAATAAAACAAACAGACAAACAAAAATACCAGCCAAAGCACTTTGTCATTCGGTTGGACATACTCAGCAGATATCTAAGCTTTGTTCTATTTGGACCAGAGAGAAATTGCCTGATACAAATAGGAGTTACACTAGAGCTTCTGAAATGCTACTGAACTCCCACTCTTGAGGCCAGAGAAAGTCATGTAAAGCACATTTTAGATCTTAATCAGTTCCTCTAAGACTCCAGAAGGCAAAACCTTAGAAACTAGAGAGCACACACTAGCATTGTTCCTTGGGTTTATCAAAATGTCTTTTCTATATGCCTCAAAGCAGATTCTATTGACCTCGGCCTGTCTTTTCAGGCAACAAACAAATGCAAAACAATCTCATTTTGATCTGGGTCTCAGCAGATAAGTTTTAATTAGCTGGCCTTGCTCACAAAAGGCTGAAAGAATGCATGTGATACCCATCTGAAACCTCACTAATATACATCATTCTTTATTTTAAAAATTCATGATATGCTCCTCCACCTCTATCCCAACCCTGGCACCATCCCCCCCCAAAAGGCAGGATATCTTTTTAGGACAGATTCAGCTGTGGCATCAAAAAGAAACTACAAGAATCTCCATGGTGCTGTTTTCCTCTGGCAGAATAATCTCTTAGTTTAAAAAAAAAGACTGCAAGCCAACTGAAGACCTGTTTTTAATGGACTGACATCAAATTTTCCCAAGCCAGCACTTGGCAGGAGACTGTTCCAGATGATGCTAATAGATATCACATGAAAGAGTATTCTGCCATCAAGTCAGTCCAAGAAAGACTGCATCTCATGTCCCCATCCTGCACAGTTGCATAGGACACAAAACAGTACAGGCAACACCTTCTTCAAAGCACAGCCAGCAAAGCAATGAATTCCCAGTCTGGGAAACTCTAATCTAAACGTTTCTCCAAATACAGGTGGGGACCAGAGAACTATTAGATGCCTCTCTGCAAACACATCTCCATTTCAGGGTATGTATTCTGTTCAATGAAATATATATTTATTGGATGCTGGTGGCCATATATTTTAATTTGGTATTTTTCTCCCATAACCTTCTTAATAAACCAGATTTTATGTTTCAATGAATCATAAAACAATTTTATTAAATCACACCATAGTATGCTTGCTTATGACTACAACAGCCTCTGAACTGCTCCCCAGCCTCCACTCTTGTCTCACTTGTACCCAGCCTCCTTCCGCTGGGCAATGATCATCCTGGAGCATGGGTTTGGTTGCCTCTCCCCTTTAGCCCATCCATGACTCTCTACCTCATTATCAGGCCTTGTATGAACTGATCCCTATTGACTTTGCTATCTCCATCTCTTAGTGCTCTGCCTTCTTATTGAGAATTCTCATCCTGTAGATGGAATCGTATAGATCTGTGAACTTGGATGGGGAAAAGTTGGCATCTTAATTTTCACTAACTGCTAACTAAAATTTAGGCTTTTCTGCAATTGAGTGCAGAAAACCGTCTATAGTATTTTTTCTGTAGTGACTCTGTTACTATAAGTCATAAACTAGTATGTTCATACTGATTGTTGCCACTATCCCAAACTATTGTTTATACTTCAAACTTAAAATTGCAGCAATTGTAGAACCATTGCTAGATTTTTTTCATCTGATATGTTAATAAAGGAGCCCACACGTCTCTGTATCACCAATTTGATTTTTTAATATTTTGATATGTATATTTTAACATAATTGACTTCCTTTTTAATCCTTCGCACTTTGTGTGTGTGTGTGCACATGAGCATGCTGTGGATCGAACCCAGGGCTCAGGCATGGCAGGCAAGAATTCTACCATTGAGTCACATCCCCAGCTCATCCTTTGCATTTGATGTTAAGAATTTAACACATTATCTTTGACAAAATATTCGTAAGCTATTACCAGGTTGCCAAAGGGAATCATGGCACAGAAAATTGAAATGCTCAGGTCTCAGTTCCTAAATCATAGCCTGTCTGCTCTGTTTCCAACTGTTTCTTTCTCCCTTATGATATTCCTTTTTCTTCCACCCCACCAAAACTCTCTGTCTGGTCCAACCATCACTTTTCTCTGGGAATTCTTTCATGATATCAAAGTCTGAGCTAGATGAGCTCAAGGATCCTGTGTTTGCTGAACTTAGCCCCTAGAATCCCAAACTATCATCACTTACTGTCTGTCTCTGTAAGGATAAGGGCCCAGCTGAGGCTCACCAGACTTTCCCCATCACCACACAGTGTCCAGTGCATGGTAGTCACGCTACACTTTTGCCATATCAATGAATGAGTGACAGTGCTTACTTTCATTTGCACAGCTATGAGCAAAAAAAAAAAAAATGTCCTGTGAGATATAGATACTGACCTGTATTTCTGGTTTTCCATCCACATATACAGTGCTGTTGTTGACCATTTCTACAATGGCAACTCCAAGATTACACCGAATCCCAAAGGAGATGCAGAATCCCAGCCCACTCATGATGGCGATGATGTAACGCTTAGGGATGCCACAGCAATGGCAGTCACAGAGCGGAGGGCGTGGCCTGGATGCCTGCACAGGCCTGCCTTCTTCATTCAGTTCAATGTTATCTTCTTCCTCATTGGTCCCATCAATTTTTCTACATTAGAAAACAATGGACAGAGAAGAAAAGCCAGAATTAGAGGGGGTGAGGGAGGTGTACTAAGCAAAAAGAAAAAATTGTAACAAGAAAAACCTGAGGCCATTCTCCTTGGCGTGGAGATGGCCATTTCTCCCTATACCTATTTACAACATCTTTCCTCTGTATGTCCCTGTGTTCAAATTTCCTCTTCTTACAAGTACCCAGTCACATGGATGATGGCCTCCCTTCATGACCTCATTTTAACTGAATGATCTCTTTAAATGTCCTATCTCCAAACACAATCATATTCTGAAGTACTGGATTAGAATTTCAACATACGAATTGGGGAAGTGGCAGCAGGGGATGGGGACAATTCAGCCATAATAGTCCTCATCTCTAAAATGGGCTAATCAGACTGGCTATCTCATAGGGCTATTTACTGACTGATGCATGTAAATGCATCACATGAAAGAACTTTACATTCATAAATGGTAAATTCTAGGATTATTGCTCTTAATATAATTGTTAGCAGTCAGAAGCTCAGCATCTCTATAAGCATGAAGATGCTTTAGATGAAGAAGAATGAAGACTGAGATTTTCAGGCACTCTGGGGCTCTGAGGAGTTTAACTGAAGACAGCCCCAGCTGCTGTGCTCTGATTCCACTATGGCTTTGGCTTTGGCACACGGCCACACTTTTCACAGGCTGCTTTCTGACAAGGATTGAGCCCAACAGGGACATAAGGCAGGTCCTTTCCTGGAAGAGGCAGGACTCTTCTGACAGGTGACTGGCTCCAGGATTCTCCATTGACCTTGCCAAAACATCTAGTTGTCTAGTCTGAAATGCTCCTACTTTCCTCCTTTCCTGTTTCCTGCACAGATAGCATGCAGTCTGGATGCTGTCCCAGCCTCCTCCAGCTCCTTCCCCATTTTCCCCTCAATAAACCCCTTGTGTATCTGTTTTCCTGTCCACTTCCTAGAGGACTTGAACTAACACAAGCATCTCTCAACATGGCACCATCTTAGATGTCCTGAGACTTTCCAGAGGGATAACACAACAGTATGGGAACTGGAGCTGGGGGAGGGGGAGAGAATGGTGAGAAAAGCACAGGAATCTCCAAAGTGACAGCCAAGCCAACACTTCAAAGGACTATGAGATCAGGAGAAATGCCAATCAACAATGAGAGGGACCTCCTGGGTGCAGCAGGAAGGGAAGCTCCAAAATTGACCAAAATTTAATTTCCACCAGGCAGGGCCCTCCAAGTAGATTGGATTTGTTTTTAAAACCCTAAAATTGTAGGAGGGTTTGGGGTGTAGCTCAGAGTGGTAGAGTGCTTTTCTGGCATATGCAAGGCCCTTGGTTCAACCATCAGAATAATAATAATAATAACCGTGGAACATTTATTTTATAGGCAAGCTCAGAGAAGAAGATTGAGAATAACTTCACATTGTGTGATGAAACAGGGCTTTAGGCAATCAGTAACCTGGATGTAACTGTCAACTCTGCCACTTACATACCAGTTGTGTGACTTTGGTCAAGTAACTTGGCCTTTCTGAATCTCACAATTTGTTATCCATACAATAAATACAATATTTATCTTAAGAGTTGTTCTTAAGATTGAATGATACTGTACTACAAAGAGTAAAATATTACCATGAAAAGTGAGTGGGCATTAACAAATATTATAATCTGTACCACCCCTGGTGTTTCCTTTGGGTTGTTTCATTCATTGTTTTTGTGGAGCTAGAGATGGAGCCCAGGGACTCTCGAACACTGGCTTGACCACTGTCCTGCATCCCCAGCCACCTCTGGGTATTATGCATTCCTTGGTTAGAGTACTTACCATGTAAGTTGGAGAGTTTGGTTTTCATCAGCATAGTAGGTAGGGAGCAGATCTGATGATTCACATACATAGACTTTAATGAAGAGCTCCCCCACCCAGTGGGTCATGAGCCTGCTGAGGCAGGAGCCATCTCCCACCCATCTTCATTCCCAGTGTTCAGCACAGTACCTGGACACAAGGAATCTTCCTTTGACTGAATGGAAATGTGGGTTGATTCCAGATGTCACTCCTGACTTGAGCACTTAAAGAGACGGGGTAAGGGTCTATTCATCTCTGCCCAGAAACAAACTTTACAGAAAGAATTGGGGAGAGGAAAGAAAGTTACCTAAGAATTAAAAAAAAAAAAAAAAACTCCTTTCTTAAGAAAGTGGAGGACTTTAATTATCCCTAATAGCTATTTACCCCATTTGGTTTTCTCTGACTGTGCCTGCCCTCACACTTTTAGATCTGAGAATCTTCATTCTTTCCAGGGTGACATCCATCATTATTTTTCCAAGTATAGAAAACTGCAGATTGTGGGTTGCTGGTCCTTCACGTACTAGGGCAGTACATGCCCACTGTTCTCCTGTCCAGCAAGCCTCTGTTACCGTGAGTCTGATTGTTTTACATATGCTAACAAGCTTTAGGCAATCAGATAACCTGGATGTGATTGTCAGCTCTGCCACTTACATACTAGTTGTGTGACTTTGGTCAAGTAACTTGGCCTTTCTGAATCTCACAATCTGTCATCCATACGATAAATACAATATTTATCATTTACATTTGAGCATTTATAGAACTATTTACTTATAATCCAAACATTTCCACCAATTGTGGAGGAGGTTTTGTTTTGCAATTAATAAGGTCCACATTTGGAGCACAAAGTGAGCAGAACTTGCAGATAATTCTGTGAGTTTTTAAAATTCTTTCACTTATTTATGTATTATATGTGTTATGGGATTCTGAGCTATAAGATATAGATAAATCTTCTTAAGACTGTTTTGATAATCAAGGGAGATACTATACATTAAAAAAAAAACTTGACAGTTCTAAACAAAACCAGAAAACCTCAGAGTACCTAGAATGGAGAAGCTATTCAATGTCTTCAATTTCATCTTTCAATTTTCTTCCTTTCTCCAAAAACATAGCAACTCAGTGATCATGTGAAAAACAACTTTGAAGTAACTGTGACCCTTTCAGAAGGCAAATTAGAATACTGTTTGCCATAACAAAAATACTACAGTCTGGGAAGCTTAACCCATTAAGTTCCAAGTTTTCATTCTGTGATTACTTCAATGAAATTGGCACAGGTGAGTTAAAATGGATTGGAAATCATAAACTAGAGTGTGTGTGTGTGTGTGTGTGTGTGTGTGTATTCACATATATAATATTAATCTTATTATTTTATAATATAACTTTATTATTCTTATCATTACTTTTTATTGTATATTATATACTATATTTAAGTTTAGGTTCCTCCACCCCCTGCTTCCTGACCCCACCATATGGTGAGGAGTTTTCCTCCACTGGGCCCTTCCACCATGATGCTCTTCCTCACCTCAGTGGACTGAGACTCTGAAATTGCTAGCCCCAAATAAACTTTCCCTCTTCTAAGTTGCTCTTGTCAGATATTTTGGTCACAGCAAAACAGAAGCTGACTAAAACAGGCCCCCAACCTTGGCTTGCAAATGGCCGCCTTCCCACTCAGATGGCCTTTCTTCTATGCACATGCATCTTCAGTGTCTCTTGTAATCCAAATTTCCTCCTCTCATAAGGGCACCAATCCTATTACATTAAGGTCCAGCCTCACACCCAGTGCAGTTTTGCAGATTTTGGAGCATTAGCCTATGCTGGTCTTGTTTTCCTCCTGGTAATCTTTCCTGTCCCCTCATGTAAAAAGAGTTGGTGCTCCTTGCCTCAGCAGGGAAGGATAAGATGGACAGCAGAGAAAAAGACTTAGTCTCTTGGTTTGTGTTTTTTATTTCCAAAATTCATAGGTGACAAACCGACAGCTCTATAGCCACATCTGGCCCACAGACATGTTTTGTTTATATTATATGATGTATGAGTAAGGGTTTTTTTTCTAATTTGGATTAAATTGCCAGTTGAAAATTCAGGAGGGCTGTGTGTGTGTGTGTGGTGTTGTTTGTGTGTGTGTGTGTGTGGTGTTGTTTGTGTGTGTGTGTGTGTGTGTGTGTGTGTGTGGTGTTTAACCTGGAATTTTTACCTTCTTCTGAAAAATGTGAAGACCTGGAATTATTAGATCCACACTCTCATGGAATAATTGGCATTCCCATTTACCACAGTCCTCACCACTCCCTCTAGTCACCCCTACACTGAACTGAATTCCCATTTCATATTATACTTGCACTGTTGTTCTTCTTATAGTTAAAACTAAGATTTTGCTCAAGAGCAAGATGGCAGTTCTCTTGGAGACCAAGTGTTCTCTGCAGTGGCTCAAAGAGGTCCAGCTCTATTCATCCAGACCCCAGGGGCCAGACCTACTCATGTTTCAGCTTTTCTCCAGGACCGACCCACATCCTAGGGCAGTGTGGAACACAGCACATTCACCTGTCTTCAAGCCACCATTCTGGTTCCAAGGCTGCATCTCTCCACTGGACTAGCAAGAAGGTTGCCTGTGTTCTGCTCCTGGGCCAGCTTCCAGCTGCATATTTGAATCCTTGCTCTGCAATGGACTACTCTGGCTGCAACCCTCACTCTCCAGAGTCACAGGAGCCTTGGACAAGTTGTTATTACTATGTTCATGGGGATGCATTGCAGAAAGCTGTCAAGGCAGGTCTTTTGGCACTTTAACCTTTGCTGAGCTTTCGACAGTCATGATATGGGAATCTGCAAAGCTGCTGCTATGCTGTGGAAGTGCCAACCTTCAGAACTGTGTGCCTCTTCACCTCTGCTCCATCATGCCATTCAGCACACAATAAGGAAGAAATATGAGATAAGTCCACTGGGGGACAAACCTTCTCCTAATCACATGGTTATTCTGGAATCTAATTGTTGAGCAGAAGGTTTGAGAGGAAATGAATATCCAAGAAACTATGAGACTGAATTCTGCATTCTGGTGCGTCAAGGGGGTGTCTCCTAGCTTACAAGACTCCCAGTATAACCAAACTTTACATATGAACTTTCCCCCTTTTAATTTTGAATCTCTTAAAGACAATTCACCTTTATTATAATCA